AGCGAGACTCAAGACTTAAAACTTGTAAACTAGAAGTAAAAGCTTACCAAAGAGTAAACCTCGAACAACCACTATTTGTTTTTTCAATTTTTGGGATATGGGATGAGGCACCATCTCCAGGTTTCCTCCTAGGTTTGATTATATGAGTTATTTGCCTTGTTTATGTCTTTGTTCTTTGTTTCTATTATTGCAACTAAACGATCATTTTACATATATAGGAACGCGTCAACCTGCAAGACCTTGGAACATCATTCTTGAGGTAATTTTAATTCAATCCATTCATTGAAACCATAGAGGTTTAGGTTTGATGTGTTTTTGCTTCCTATTCTGCAGCTTAGTTTTCAGATGTTTATTATGTGTTGTTTCGGAAGTCTTTGCACTCCATTTCTGTGTTAAATCATTGCCTCATAATAAGGGCGTCTTTGATAGTGCTTGAAATCCATTATGCAAATGGTTGAAATCCTGGTGTTGTTTGAAAGTGTTTGAAATCAATTTATGTGTTAGATAATCTGGAAGTGCTTTTTATTTATGTGCTCTTTTTAAAGTGCTCTTTCATAAAAATCTAAAACAAACCCTGAAGTATGTGTGGTGAATTTTGTTATTCGTCTATGAATTAAATTAAAATGTCTTTAAGCTTAGGACAGTATGAAAATAACCGACACTTCCAAATGTATGAAACTAAATAGTTACCATTCAAAGGTACCACATCTCAAAGAAAAAACTGGCGTAGTTTAAAGGCTACTGTTCCGACCCATGAGTTTCATTATCTATCAATATCCTCTCAGCCAATATGTGTCTCCCTTCAACATTCTTTTATTAATTTCACTGACCCATCAACGCAGATATTAATTTAGGTGTAATAGCAGCTATCCTCCCAGGTAAAATGATATTAGTTATTTGGTTTGTTTATAGGTGTGTTGTTTGCCACAATTAGTAGAAGTAAAGAAAAAACATCTTTTAATTACAGATACGCCTAAATCCGCAAGAACTTGGAACATCATTCTTCCAAAAACCAGCCCAAAGCACCAGACCCAAAACCCGGATAGTAAACCCAAAGTCCCAGACTCAAAAACAATCCCAAATGCTATAACCCAACCTAGAGTCTACCCAAAACCTAGGCCCAAAAACCAGTCCCAAACACAAACGCCAAAACATAGCCCAGATTCTACATAAGGGTATGAACACACAGTCTTTGAACTCCATTTATGGGTTAAAAATCTAAAATCATAAATCATTTTTTGTTCTGAACTATGTTTAACTTTCTCATTTTCCAATTTATTTTATCATATTAGGTTGTGGTGTAATACCTAGGTTCACATGTGTCTTCCTTCAACGATCTTTTAGTTTTAATTTTTGTGACCCGACACGAAAACAAACCCAAAATCTAAACCCAAAACTCAAAACCCAACCAACGAGCCCCAAAATTACATAGCCACTTTTTCGCTGCCATGTTGTCTTCTGTTCCCAAAATGTTATCCGCATTTAGTAGAACCATCAAAGGATATAAGAACAATTTGAATATCAATTTTTTTAAAGGAAAGATGAAGGTAAAAGATGTTATAAGGTGAAATACCAAAAACAATGGATATCTACAAAGGTGACAAATGAAGTCAATCATCAAGAATCTGGTTTCCTGAAGGAGCCTCACCTGCCACATTCAAAGAAGCTACAAAGACACTGTAAATTCAAATTTAAAAGAATAGTTAATATTCTATTCAAGGAATAGTGATTAGTGATGTATCCAAGAATCTTTATAAAATAAAAATTTTCATTCTTTTCAAAATGAAGTTGTAAACCGCTGACATTTCAAGATTCACTTTAGTTGAAAAGTTCAGGGAATATATAGTGAAAATTATGCTTGTATATCGAAACATTATCTTCTGCTTTTGTGTACCCATTTGAGAAACACTATAGTCAATATACAAATGAATTTTATTAAAACAAAGTGGTTATGTCGTATCAACTGAAGGCAATTTGAGGATAACATTTTATGGTAATTTGTTGTTCACACTTAAGAAGCAATGGTCTGAAGAAAGAATTAAAAGCATATTTTGTTCCCAAAATGGTCTGAGAGAAATCATTATAACACTACGTCAAAAACAGAGGCTGACAACTGTTTATTTTAGTAGTCTATAATTGATGTTTTCAGTAGTCTTCCGAGCAGCTGTCTGATGGGATGTTAGACCTCGGTTTAGAACAATTGTGCAAATCAAAATCTGACACCGGTGTTTTGTAGCTTAACACAACTTTGAACATATGTTGTCTGCTCGCGATTGAGTCTACGATTTTGGATATACTCAGACAACAGTTTTATTGTGTTGTATATAGAAGTTCATACAACTACTTAAAAACAACTGTCTTAATTAATTGTATATAGGCTATTACGACAATGGTTTATTGTAGTTGGGATTGATGCGGTTACACTATGCTTTCCAGGTGTAGTCTAATGTTCTATTAGACAGCTGCTCGGAAGACTGCTATAAGTAATTCCATCAAACCTCTGCTACCTTCTGTTGTATGTACAACGTTGAGACTATTACTTTGGTCTTACCTTAAACAACTTTTTTTTTGGTTGTATGCCGTCTATTAACACTCCAGTTTATGTTCGTTGTCCTTTAAACATTGACACTATACTTCCAAACAGTAGTTGAATCTGCTACTAGACAGCTGCTCGGAAGACCACTATAAGTATTTGCTTCATACAACTATTACGTTGGGTTGTATGCATAATGTTCAGACTATTATTTTGGTCTTATCTTAAATAACTATTTGTTTTAGTTGTACGACATCTATAAACAATACTGTTTTGGATCGTTGTCGTACCACCCATTCAAACAATATTTTGGGACAGTAGTCGAAATTGTTATTAGACAGCTGCTTGTAACACCACTGAAAACATTAGCATTAGAGAACTGTTCTTTTTTGTGGTATATCTAAAATTAAGAATACGATTATGTTTCATTTCACACAATTGCAAGTACCAGATGTCTAGCAGGTATTACCTCTACTAGTTTATATAGTGGTCCGTAAAATTTTTGTAATATCAAATTAATAGTAGTAAGGCTGCTTGTCAGTCAAGCGTTTATTTGTGTTGCCTATCATAATCAGATGCTTCTGTTTTATGGCGTTGTGTTGCAGATATTTAAACTATTGACATTTGGTGTTGTGCCTCAACCATTCGGAGTACTGTATTTGGTGGATAACCATGTTTTTTGCATTCTAATACAGTGGTCGTTCAATAATTCATACAACAGAAGGACTGATCAAGAAAGACTGATCAAGAAAAGAAATATAAATTCCCAATACATGATTCAACAATCTAACACAATAAAACATACAACCAAAGTCCAGGGGTAGAACCATTCAAATGGCATTATGACTCATAAAATACTTCGCAAATTCAACTTTTCTTTGATTGATGTCATCCTCGGTGTATTCCAGATTTCCCCGACGCGCCCACTGAAAATCGTAGGAAAAACCAAATATCTAATAAGCCAATCATAGAAGTGATGAAGTAAATATAGGATGCAACACATAAGAACTGATTTGTATGAAGGCATTATCCGTGATGACTAACACTAAAGAACTGACCAATAATTAATACTCAAACCTTCACTTGCATTGAGTAGTACACATTATTAGTGAAATAGAAGAGGCTCTACTTAATGTTAAAGTCTCTCCTGATTAAAAACACCACAACTGTACACAAAATAAAAAAACTCCGTACAGCGCTATCTTAAATTAGCTTCAAATTAAATCTGTGTAAATAGCATGTAGCAGAACTTGCATTTATCCAGAAATTCAAACTAAAAAACACACTCCTAAATGATACACGGATGCAAAGAAGCACTTAATAGAGAACACATAAAAGCGACATGCAATTCAAACTTTGCAATTCAGTAATGATATGATAACATACAATACAGTAAATATCCCCAAAATAAAAGAAATGCACAATTAGTGTGAACCATCCGAAACAAGAAAAACTACATTTAAGAAAACAATATTACCTTTGAAGCAAATTGAACCTCCTTATCCTGACAGATCTCTTTCATGTATCGCATTACAAACAAGCCACAGTCTACACTCCCTTTTTGCATCGGGATGCCCTAAAAAACAAAAATATAAAGTACGTTATATATACAACACTTCTCATTCAACCTGCATTACATACCAAATAATAAGAATCATATAATACCGCCATGTTCTCCCAGGACACTTTCTTCTTCAACATAGGTGTGTTCATGGTACTCTTGTACAAAACTATAGCACTATAAGGAAATAAAAAAAGATAAATAGAGAAATGTTAAAATCAAGAGTGATAGCAAATACCAAAGATTTTTGTTCATTGAGTCACTACTTACTTATCAACCACTTCAGTCCACTCCTGACTATCTATACGCCGTTTAAGGGGGTCCATGTAGTACACTACTATACCTCTTCATTAGGTTTGACAACAGTCAAAGCCCAATGATTCCTACAAATAAAAACATATATGAATTACGACATTCTCACGAGCTTAAAGAAATTCGCATTTACATAAGTGTATTAACAAAGCATTACAATGCAAATTGAAGACTAAGTTCACAAGGAAGAAACAATTCAGAACATCAGTTCTTGATATGAACAACTTAAACATACTTACACGTCATTGAACGGTATTACAAAGTGTTGTCCATCACAGGCCCCCTTAAAGCGATCAGAAAGCTTGCGTGACCTCTGCCCTATGTTCCCACATGCAAGCGTCCCTACCATGCCGGGATCCACGAAAGAGATCATCTGAAGCATTTTGTTTTTTTCACAAGCTCATACAAGCAGCTGCAAGGGTAATTACATGATAGTTATGTCACTTGTCCATAAGAATTTTATATCAAAAGGCTTTTAACAATGAAAATAAAATGTTTGTGTGATGACATTCTTACTGGATGTATATTGTAATTATGCTTCCAGCCATCTCGCCACGAGCGCACAGAGCATGTATATCACTCAGAAAAACTGATAACTTCTTTTCCACCCCAAAGGCATCTTTATTAAGGACAAAAGTATGTGCTCTATCATCAGACAATGCTTCCTTAGCCCACAACCATAGCCGTTTCAACTGCAGTGGATACTCAGCACCAAATTCTACTTGGAACTCTTGGCCACATTCCTCATCGTCTTGAACATGTGCCTTTTTCAATCTTTTAGGGGCCTTTTTCTTTTTGA